CTTATTTACATTGAACCTTATGGGAAAATTTGATTTGGTTGGCGACCACGTTCGTAGGGGTCAGAACGGATTAACCTTATTTACATTGAACCTTATGGGAAAATTTGATTTGGTTGGCGACCACGTTCGTAGGGGTCAGAACAGATTAACCTTATTTATATTGAACCTTATGGGGAAATTTGAGTCAGCTGGCGACCAATTCGGTTCGCGACCAGAATCGTGGAACAAATTAAGTTCGTGAACTGAGGTACCACTGTACTTCTCCAGGGTTAGTTTAGCTTCCATACAGGGTACAGTAACAAAGTTAAGTACAAAGTGAAGAGGCAGGGCAACATTTGCCAAAATGTTTCACTCACTGTATTGTGTTTTTGCTGTAGGAGGATAAGTTTAAGCTAGAATTTACCCCCCCCAAAAAAAGTTTGTTACATTTCTCTATGGCTTGGAATTTCATTCTGCTTGCAAGCTATGGTGTGCCCATCTATCTACTAAATTAATACTTATTTTTATCAACCAGATTTCAGTGGTCTTTGGAGAGAAACACAAGTTTCGTTACAGTTATTTGCTTTATGTTTTTCCTTGAGGATGACTGATTCTAAAGTTCACTAATCATCTGAATTCAACCCTGAATTTCCCATAGTTCAGACTGCCTTTGTTTCCAAAGATATGCCACATTTAATAAAACAAAATGTATTATCTTTTCACAGAGGTTCAAGAGTTTGAGAAACTGGCATAAATTAAATTATCCAAGGTTCTTAACCAGTTACCTGCAAGCCCATAATGTTGATTCTGTTCTCTCTCAAGTTGTGATAAAAAACAATGCCAAACTTAACTTAAAAGGAACAATTTATAATTAAATCCACACTAATTAAATTTTCTACAAGTCACAAAAGCCCAAGCTAAATATCGATATATGCACATATTTAAAACACTGTTTATTGCTCATGCAAACAACAGTCTTTGTTTTGCAAAACTCCTAACATTCTGTGTTCCTTTTTTGTTGATCTAACCCTCCTGAAATGTTGCCAGTAAGTTAGATATCACTGAATTACATAATTCTTCTTAAGCATTATGAATGACAGGTATACATTTTGCAGAAACAAGGAAACAACACTGCAACTTCAAAGACTGTTTTCTTCTGAAGCACTGGAGTGGACAGGAATATTTCTTCTACTCTTTTTGCACCATCTACCAATGTCTGTGGGCTCACTGAGGTTTAAACTCCCCAAAACTATGTAGAAAGATGATAAGCAATGGCAGTGGGAGCAGGAGGTGGGAACAGTTATAAAAGTCCCCAGGGATAGTTGCAGCAAAATGTTTGGGAATCTCCAGTTCCCTCTGAAATCCTACACTGAGAGAAGAGAAAAAGACATAAACCTCTATTGATGTGCATGGATTGTGAGAAGGAGATGACCCTATCAAGCATCATAGGGGTGCAGGAAATGAGTATATAATTTATCATAATCTGATGGAAGTCCATAGGAAATCCTCACTATTTTATCACATGTCTACAGCAAGGTGCATCCTATGTGGTTCCCAAAAGCTTTGGATATAACCTTCAAGCACTCTAAAAGTTGACTTCACATTGTAATTTTTAATGTGACAGAAGGTAGAAAATGGTACATACAGAGAGCATGGTCATGCTAATTATATCAGTTCTACTTTTATTAACTACTGTATATCATTTCTACTTTTTGTCACAGCAACATGGTTTTTTAAGTACAGCTCTTGGAGTGCCCTCCGTGGAATCTGGCAGTTCAGCAAACTATGCGCTAGGTTTTTCTTCTGACTTCTAGCTCTTGGAATGATTTCATTGTCTGTTTTCCAGTTTGTCTTATATCCAGTATTCCAGTACCTAACAATAAATGCAGCATAGCTGCATTCACTTTATTTATTTATTTATTTATTTATTTACTTACTTACTTACTGGACTTAGATGGTTGCCTATCTCATACAGTGACGCTAGGTGGCTCACAACAATCCATAAAACATAGTTAAAAACATACCCTTCCCCCCAGGCGCCAGATCAAACATTCTCCCAGCTCAACCCCCATCCTAGCTCAATGCTTGGGGGAAGAGCCAGGTCTTCACAGCCCTCCAGAAGGCTAAAAGGGTAGGGGTGACATGTCATACTCAGCCTCAGATTAGTAGGGTATATGTAAAATGCTCCAAATTCAAAACATTTTCAGCTTGACATGCTCTGCTAAGAGTTCAAAACAGTTGTTTTGAGTTCACAAAAGGTTATTTTCAGCATTCTGGAAGAGTTTCAAGTAACCACTACTAAGACTGAACCATCCATTTTGAACAGGAACATTTCAGATTTGAAGCTTTTGTACATCACAACAAACTAGCCAATTACATTTTAATCTGATGCATTTGCGAACCCAGTCTGCGTGCTTAGTTTATCATTCAGTTTATCATTATCATGCAAATGTAGGAAATTGGATTAATTAAGTTTATTATTATCACTCACTCTGCCTATGCCATCTGGCCCTGTAGATGGTTGTCCAGGAGGCCCAGGATCACCAGGTTGTCCAGGTACACCAGGTTCCCCATCCACTCCTGAAGGACCACGGGCACCCTAAATAGAGAGCAGATATAAAGCATATTTAAAGAAAGCATACATATCCATCAAGTAGACAGTGTATAAACCATTTCAATTATTAGGCCCAACAACTGAAAAACTTACTTCCAAAATTACAGTATTCCCATGGAGTCTTCATCACATTAAGTATTCCAATCATCTTTACATAGGAACTGAGATCTCTCAAATGATAAGCTAGCAGATCTCTTATTCATGAATAAATCTCATTCATCTGAATGGAATCAGCACCAAACAGCGTACTGCTAAGTAACACATTTTTAAGTAACAAGACCTAAAATGAATGATTTTGCTACTTTCATTCTCACATTTTCTTCTGGAAGAATTATGAATCTAGAGATTAACATTTTTCATCAGCAGTGTTCTGTCCAATGAAAATCCTTGAGCTCCAAGAGACAATAAAGTATGTTTTACGAATTGCTAATCATGGATAATTTTTTTTTTTTTGGAATGGAGATATGTTGAAATTGCAGAAGTAAATTAATATTTATAGCAGGAAATTAATTTTGTGGATTTCAGATATTTCTAGTTACTTAACAAAGGCAAAATTGCCTGTTTTGCATCTCTGTAATGTTTAAACACAAACAAGCATGCATACAAGTAGCTTTTCTTTTCATTTATGCAGGCATAAATTCAGAGAAATATCTCAAAGTCTATGGATACCATTCCAGATTTATATTGGCAGAGAGTATGGAGCAAAAGTGTATGTTAAAAGTAGAACAGGCTGTTTAGAAGACAGCTGGAAAAATCACAAGACAATTAATGCAAATATTTCATGAATCTGGAATAAAATCTGAAGTGACTTGGTAGCCTAATATATTCTGCAGCCTGGTCCATTTATGCACCACTCTACTGCTTTGAAAGCAAATGAATGAAGTTGATGGCTGAGTAAAGGAGGTCAAGAGAAAAATAACTAAGGGCTGCTTAAGAACTTATTCCTAATACCCATGCAAATGTCAGAGGGAAAAAAAGATTATCCTGGCTTTTATAGAACTATTTTGTAAAAGCTGGCAGATTAAGGGATCTCCATGGGAGGTCAGGAAAGGTGTGCTGTCATGGCAGGGTGTCTATCACTTCCAAAAAAGACTGGCTTCGAGCTAGTCGGGGTGGGATAGGCAACAGCTTTACCAGGCTTTTAACTAAGCTAATGTGAGGGAACTCATCCAGGTCTCTCTCAGGGAAACTGGGAGATTTAAGATCCAGTAGCTTTAAAAGTCATACTACCTCTTCCTGAAATTTTCCATGTTGGACCCACCACACCAGAGGTTTGAGTTGGCCTATTGAAGCATATGAGCCACCCAGCCAATGCAGTGAAGGCTCCCCCATGTTCTCATTCAAGTTAAGGTTGAGTGGAAAGGTTTGGATTATACTGCCCAAGTAAAAGCTGGGTCTAAGAGTTCCGATTTTCATTCATTTTTGCTTTTTAAAAAACTTTGCATGTAATTATAAATATCATTTATCTGTTATCTTCTTAACTGGTATGTATCATTGTCTCTAACATCAGCTTTGCAGGTAATGCAACAAGAGTTTTTAAACCTTCAGTAATATGATTATTTAATTAAAATATCAAGTAAGAATTTTCATCTTTTTTATATCAAAATGTCAGATGTTTGAATTTATGTAAATTGGAGATGGGACCATTCCATTCTATAGATTTATATCATAGATACATTTATGGGTGCATGTTAAAGGCTTATATGCTACTTCTTTATATATTGGTATTACATTAGTTTATTGGTGCATATTATACTATTAGTATAAAATGATACACCACAGTAAAGGGATAAAAGTAGAGATACCTACCCACAAAAAATACTTAATCATAATTCTAAGAACATCAACAATACAACCGAAACGAAAAATGACACTATTTTTAAAAAGCATTATTTGCAAACATATTTGCTCAATTATTTGAGAAACAGGTCAAGAGCTGAAAAATCAGTTACCTAAAGGTAGGCCATACAGGTCTCTTCTGTCACTTACTCCCACAATTCAAGGCAACTTATAAACAAGTATTTGCTGTGGAGGGCCACTAGATGGCACTTTAACCCACTTACTCTTGCACTACTTCCCTACTCAATACCTAAATATATTTCAGAAACATTTCAGCAGTGCTAAAGCATACGGTCAAGTCACTGGATTATTCATTGATATCAGTTAATTCAGCACACACACACATACATTTATACACTGTCTTGTAATTCTCATTGGTCCCTTAGAAGCAATGACAATTATTACCACATTACTATGCAACCAAAACTGATATATTTCCTTAAATATATCAGCTTCTAATGCGGCTTTAAAAAACTAGATCAAGAGTTAGCAAGCTGGTACCTTCCAGATATTATGCACTATTGTCCAAGGTGGGTTGGATTGAATTGCCTATTTCTGCTAAAAATCCAGCAAATCTAACTTGGGTTATCAGCTCAGGCACAGCTGCTGCATTCTCCAACGCACTGTGGTGCTATAGATGACTATCCGTGATAGAGCCGTGGCCCCGTGTCACCTTTCCTGCATCTCTTCAGCACCTAGTAAGCTTCAGTAGCTCCTATCTGACATTCTGATACTTCTCAACTTCTCTGTCAACTCCTCATCTTAATGAAAAAGATGTAGTTGGGCTTGATATCAAGTATGACAGGGCTTCTACCGAAATGGGAATTTCAGTAGGTATGACTTACCTGAAAAGCTACAGTTGTTAAAATTTTCTCTTCTACATACCCTTGTTTCCTAATTAAACACTCTCACTTATCCACTCCCTTTTTGCAAGTACTACAAGCTCCTTCCTAACCATAGGTTTGCTGAAGACTTCTCCCAATCTCCATGTTTCATACTGCAGCTAAAGGACTGGATCACATCTGGGACTGTCCTTGGAGATGGCACCCAGAATCCAATACTGTGGCATTCAACACCTGGAATTCTGACTACTTTAACTAGATGGGGCCATGTTATACTCATTCTGTTCTTATTCAGGGAAGAAAGAGAGATTTTTAAGTTACCATGCAAGCAGTGATAACCAGACCTTCCCCACAAGCCATGTTGGTGACATCAGTAAAGATGTGGTCTTTCCTATGTACAGGGTGACTTACCTCAGCGGGGAGTATATCGTGTCTTCACTATAGATGTCTGTATATACTGTGTTTGTCTTTTTACAAATTTTAATTATGTATTTATTTGTTTTAATTTGATGTAAACCGCCCAGAGTCCCCCATAGCGGGGAGATGGACGGGGATAAGCCGATAGATAGATAGATAGATAGATAGATAGATAGATAGATAGATAGATAGATAGATAGATAGAT